TAATTCATGAATTATTTTGAGATTAAAAGTGATCAAAGATTTAAATCTTTTGTTACACTTCTTACATTAACTTCTAATATAACTACTATGAAATTTATTATATAAAAAGGAAAAGAAAGTATATCAAATTTAAATTTTATATTTCAGTATCACTAAAAATGTTACTGAAGTGTTGTCAATTGATGCAAGCAGGGTACATCTTTAAGGTTGATCAAAAACCTGTAAAGTTGCAATTTGATCTTGTGAAAAGATTAACATGGTTTGACCCGAGAAAAGTCAATTGTGTCGATTTTAGAATAAAATACATTTTTATCAAATGAAATTGTTATTTTGAGCAATACGCAAGACTACATATTAGAATTAATGTGGAATTCCACCATTTTGAAAGTTTTTTTTTGTGTTTTTTTGATTTGATTTCGAGATATTATTTTGATCTTTTGGTTGATGCGCTTTATATTTCTAATATCACGAAACATATACTCAAAAAAAATTCTACTTGTAAAAATCAGTTAAATTGATGTACAATACCCTTGATTCTTCGTAGGTCTGTCTGACGACAAAACTCTTATGGCATCCAAAATTTCAAAACTTTATGGTTCATAGATTTTCTTAATTAATATTTTTCTGTTATTTGACCATTAATCAAAGGTTTTTATTAAATTAATTACAAATATTTATCAAAATTGAGTTGAAAATCAAACTTCATACTTTTCAGGTATTTATTTTGGAACTTTGGGAGTATTCTTTTTCTTCTTTAAGAATCACAGGAATGCTGGAATTGACAATTCTTTTTCAACCAAAAGAAATTGCAATTTAATTTAATTTAATATATATATATATATATATATATATATATATTCATTGTATTATACATTGTTTAATAAAAAAAAATTAAATTTTTTTTATTAATATCTAATATCATTTAATAATATAATTATTTTAAAATTTAAAGTTACAAATGATTATAATTCATGTTTAAATTAAGTAAAACTAACTAATAACTAACGTATAAGCACCATAGATTTATTTATTTTTAGAAAATCCAAATTATATTAAATATAATTAAATAAGGAATAGGGAAATGTTAACCTTTTCATTTTGATTAACTTTCTGATTTTTTTTTAATATATAACTAATAAACTTTTCCATTTTAAATTACTGGGTGTCATTGATTATTTTTAACAAATAAATCATTGAACTTTAAAAAATTTATTATATACGTTCTTTAAAAAAAACTAAATGTAACTGAGTAAGAAGTTTTAACGTTAAAAAACATAGATCAATTTTACCAATCCCGCTGGGGTACCCAACGACATCGCACCCTTTTGCCATCTCATCATCATCCGCTCTCGATCACCATCCATCGCCACCATTGCCCTCTTCCATTGACCTCCCCTCCTTTTTATCCTTTTCTTCTTCTTTCAGTTATCCCTTTTTTCGAACAATTTAATGGAGTATGTATAGACAGACAGATAAAAAGAGAACTGAAAAACACAAAAAAAAACATATAAAAAAAAAGAGACCGATGACATGGACCAACGGAGGACAATAGCAGGGTGGCAAAGGGAGCACTTTTTTCTTTGAAACAGTTCAGATCATTTTGATAATAATAAGTTTGATCTGTTTTAGGTTATAATGGGTTACGTAACGAATTCCTAAAAATTTGATTGTTTATTTATTTAAAAAAATATTTAAAAACTTAATTATTCAAAATCAAAAAGTTCAATTATTTATTTATTAAAAAATTAAAAAACTTAACCGTTTAAAATAAAAAGATTTATTGAATTTTTCCAGATATTACTCTGATGAAAACCCGTTATTTTATTAAGAAAACATAAATAAACAGTTGGGGCAAAAGCTTGAGTTTGTGTTGATTGCCAAAAGTGTGAAGCATTTCGTTGATTTTATCTCAAGAAGCTCGTGAATCTTCACAAAAAAAAAAAAATTGCATGAGAGCTGTAAAGCAGATTAAACCCAAATGCTTTAATCATCACCCACACGAATAAAGAATTTAAAAGACTATATGTTCTTATATATTTAAATTAAACAAGAGTGAAACATTAATGAATTTCACTCACAATAGTGGTGTTTGATTGGTTTAAGTTTAGGTTCCAAAGGTCAACAGTGTCTGGAGGTCTCAGTTCAAATACAAGGAAGAATAAAAATCCTCTTGTGGTCATGTAGATTCAAATGCGATGACTCCGGCTATCCATAGAGAAGGTGGTCGTCTTGGAATTAGTCGGCTCGCATAGCGGATTGGATATTCAGGTTAATGAAAATTTGTATTTGAATCTAATTATTTCATTTTATGACATATAGAAATCAAAAAAAAATTTGAAAACATAAACATGTTAGTAATATAGATTAAGGTAAATTGCATCTAAAATCAACATATTTTTATTATAGAAATACATCTTTAAATTATAATAAAAAATTGAATTAAAAAAATTGCACAAAATAAAAAATTTTAAATAGTTAATTTGATACTAATATTTATATACTATTTTTAAAATTTATATTTTAATTAAAAATAAAAACATTATTGTTTTTTTAAAACCACATAAAATCGTATTATATGACATGGATATATAATAAAAATGAGACATTAAAATCAAGATATGTCTCGATATATTACACAAATATTCTTATGGTATTATAAATAAAGTATACGTGTGTGCATTTCTTATTATGTCCTTGATTTATGCCGAGGAAAATACCAAGAATGACGTAAGAGGGATTAGAAGTCCCAACTCCCCCGGGGCCTGGGTAGGGACAAATCCGTGATTTTCTACCTACGTTTAAATCTCATTTTTCTAATCTTTTCCAAAATTACCATCAGCTCCCTAGCTAACCCTCTTCTCTTATTGGCCCACGTGGAATTTCTATAAACACCCAAATAAAAATATATTCACTGACAATTAATTAAAAAGGAAAATGAAAAATATGTTATAAAAATGCATACAACATATATCCATATCATGTCTCAAATAAATGCTATTTTTAGTTAAAAAGTTTTTGGTTAAGAACGTAGTATATCATAAGACCACAATTAAAATGATTGTTGTTGAATAAATTTTATTTGATTATAATTGATGGTACGTATGCTCCTGTCGTGTAAGATATAAACATCGATCGTGTCTTTTAGCTGTGACATTGTTTTTACATCATATCTCGTCCTAATGAACAAAAGACTGTAAATTCGTCATCTAAGCGAGAAGTAAGACATTTCAGGAGTAGGATACGTGCATAGGTTGCCACAAAGAATAATACCTGGTCAACTAGCAATTGACGTTATTGAGCATCGTGTCCATATAAACATGCATATATATATATAGAGAGAGAGAGAGGAGCGATTAATGAAAACCACTCAATTTGTAAAAACCGTAAAAACCTCATTCCACAAATCATAATTTTTCATTTTGTTCATTTTTTTGTAATTATAAGAGGTTGATTAATCATTTTTATTGTGGAGGATGTTAATCATGGATATTATTATCTTCATTATTTTAATTTTAAAGAAATACATGAAACAGTTTCATTAAAATTTCATTAAGTAATATATGAAACAATTTCATAACCATATATGAAACAACTTCATCAAAAAAAGTATTATATGAAACAATTTCACAAGATTAAACAATTTCATAAAAAATTTTCATAAGATTACGACGGATGATAGTAGTTTTTACGGTTTTTACAAATTGGAGTGGTTTTCATTTGATCGCTCATCTCTCTCTTTCTCTCTCTCTCTCTCTCTATATATATATATATAAATTAGCTTATAGCTAGATCAACAAACATTTTTTATAATTTGAATTTTATGTTAGTTTTGAAAAACTAGGTAATAATGTAAAATAATATAAAAACAAATGTTGAAAAATATTTGATTTATAAAAGGGAAAAAGTGAGAAAAAACCTTGGAGCTCAACTTATTGAAAAACTATTAGGGGTTGTTTGGATCATGGGAACCGAAAGGAATTGAAATGTCTAATCTTTTGACCAAATTCCAAATAAAGTGTTTGGTTCATGGAATAAGCCTATGGAATTCTTTCAATTCCAATCGATTCCTTCATGCACAAATTTTACAATTCCATGGCAATATGTTAGGATTTCAATTCTTTTCCTACAGATTCCTTCCCTAATCCAATTTCATGCAACCAAACGCAATCACAAGGCATGGTCAAATTCCATCATATTCCATTTCATTCCCTCAAAGTCAAATTCATTTGATGAATTCTAATTCCATCGAATCCCATTCTACGAACCAAACGCCCCCTTAGAAATAGTTTTTTACTAAGGGATCGTTTACTAAATCTTTATCTGGTGTTTACCGAGTAACTTACCTTATACTGGGTGAATATATATAGTAAAGATAAAAAAATCTTATCCAATAAGAAACAAGATAAGGATCGAGATTCTTACTCTGTAAGTGAGGATGATGACTCTAATTACTAGGCAAGCGCTTACCTGGAGACACTATGGTTCATTTGATGGCCAAGAACCGATTATAAAGTAAGTGAAGATGATGATTTTTGTTACTAAACACTCACCTGATAAGTATTTGATAAACGACCTTTAAAACTAGTTAACAGACCGTAACTTTTCAAACTTAAAAGAATAATTTTTTTCAAGTTGGTCAGGCTCGATTCCATGAACAACAATAATAATCACCCTCATCTATATGAATCATATTTTACTAATCACATAAATATATAATATATGTATATACATATATATATATATAGAGAGAGAGAGAGAGAGAGATTGGCTAGATTGTTAATTAGGGTACGGTATTTTTTCTTTCCAATTCTAGCAAACTTTTGCTTGCTTGGGCTCAGCTAATTAAGCTGGCATATATGTTCTGCGGAATAAGTTCCAACTACTTGTCCTCTCACCTTCTCTCTTTCTCTCTCTCTGTATGTGTGAGAAAAGAGATCGATCAGAACCATATATATATATATACACACACACACACACACTCTTAGCAACTTACACGCCCAACAAGGGTTCCAATTAATCCCAACTGTTTCTTGATCAAAACCCCAAAATAGAAATGAAGAAAAGTGGTAGCTTTAATTATGAAGAAGATGCAGAAGAAGATTATCTGACCAAACAAAACCCTAGTTTTCATGAGATTGAACAAGTAGATGATGATGATGATGATGATGATAGTACTGAAGATGATGATGTGGAGGAGGATGAATCAGAAGAGGTTGATCACGATTCAAGTGGTGGTCACAGACCCAAAAATGGATCAACCTCAAGCATTACAGTTGAGGAGATCAGTGATAAGAAGGCTAGCAGCCTAGTTACTGGATCTGTTCGACCATATGTTCGCTCCAAGAACCCAAGGCTCAGATGGACACCTGATCTCCATCTACGATTTGTTCATGCTATTGAACGATTGGGAGGTCAAGAAAGTTAGTTTATTTATTAACTTATTTCATCTATTTATGTGTTTGATTATATATATATGTTGGAAATTAAATTGGTTTTTAGACTTTAAATTCGATGGTGCAGGAGCAACACCTAAATTAGTTCTCCAACTTATGAATATTAAAGGCCTTAGCATCTCTCATGTCAAGAGCCATCTTCAGGTATATTATAAACTTGATTTGTATATGTAGTTTATGTTGAATATGTTTCTCTAAAAATTCAACCACTTGGATTTGTTTCATCAGATGTACAGGAGCAAGAAGATCGATGATGGTTCAAATCAAGGTATGTGTATATATATATATATCTTCAGATTCATGGTACAAAAATGAGTTTGAAATTAGGGTTTCTTATTCGCGAAATCGATACTGAAATCAATTAGGGTTTCATATTCGATATTGATTTATTCGAGTTTTTGTTGTCGTTGTTTCAGAACAAGGGATTCTTAATGAGGGTGATGATCTCCATATCTACCACCTTAGCAAACTACCAATGCTCCAAAGCTATAATCAAAGATCACTTTCCAATTTTAGGTATCATCTAATCTTAATATATGCTTCTTGATCATTATTTGTTTCTAATTATGAAATGTATAATTAATTAACTTATGAGCAACATTAATTATAATGTAGTAATTAATGCTAATTAAATCTATGGTGAATGTATCAATCGACATTGGTGCATCAAGGAAGACACCAGTTAATTAAAAGTGGCTGAATCCATTTATTTTACTGTTTTCCATTTTCAGATGTCAAGATGGTTTATGGAGTCCGCAAACGAACCTAAACTATAATCCTTTCATGAACGGATTAAGACACGGAGTTTTTGGTTCAATGGCGGAGAGGATGCTAGCAAGGAACAACATCAGGAATGGTCATTCGAGTTTCAATCATGATCAAGCGAGTTGGAGAAGATTACAAAGCAATAACATCGAATTGGGGTTGTTCAAGAATCTTGAAAGATTATCAATGCCTAATCAAATTCGAAGAAATACGACTCAGATGGACATGAATACGATCCCTAAAGATCAAGAGCATGAAGAGAAAAGGGTACTTAAAAGAAAGGAGATTGATCAAGAATCGGAGCATCTTGACTTGAATCTTTCGTTAAAAATCAAGCTCCCGAAAGAGGATCATATGATCAGTAGGAAAAGAAACGAAGAATTCGATGAAAACAGTTTGTCATTATCATTAAATTGTATTTCAAATTCTAGCAGAGTTACAAGATCAAAGCATGCAAAAACAATGGGCAGCAGCAGTAGTACTGCATCTCTTGATCTGACTTTGTGAAAGAGACAAAGATTAAGTGAGATACTTTTGTACCCAGAAAACAGTGCATATATTATAATTGACTGTTCATGTATGTATATGTGTGTGTATATATATATATATATATATATATATTATATGACTAGTACTGGAACCAGTGATCTGGTATAAAGTACTAGTTGCATTAGTTAAATGTTGGTACTTGTGTTGTTAAGCAAGGAGTGTCAGTTTTTGTGTTGTTTTGGATCTCAATTGTCACCCAAATACTATAGAAAATTATTGACACCTTTTTTGGATAACTTTTTTGATGTCTTGTAAGGTATGAAATGTCAACTCAGAATTTAGATTTTGTGTTGTCAATTGAATGGGTGTTTTTTGTTTTTATTGTTAAGTAAGTAGTGTTTATGTTTATGTTGGTTTTTATGTTTTCTTAGGGTGTTATAATGTTGTCGTCTGAAATTGATTATATTAATCGTCAAAAAAAAAAATTATGTTTAATTTATGGAAGCGTATACTCACAAGCTACCGAACGAGCCATATAGACACTACACCAAATGTTGCCGTAGACAACAAATGTAAATTGCCTATGTTGCTTAAGATACGCTAAGACAACAAATGCTATTATATGTTGCCTAAGTTTCCTCTAATGCAACATATGTTTCTATGTTGCCTAAGTGTGACCTTAGGCAACATATAAATAATTCTATGTTGCGTGTATATATCCTAGGCAACATACTAGCCTATGTTGCCTTAGTTCAATGTTGGACACTCATATCTTTTTTTGAAATGTGTCAAAGTTTACTTAGGGCCTGTTTACTTGTGGCTTAATGAGCTTACCAGATAAACGGGCTTATTCGCACAGCCAAAATGATGTGTTTACTTTGGGCTTATTCGCACAGATCAAAAACAACACTTGTCCCCATTAAGCCCAAAAAAAGACCCGATTACCCTTGGACATGAAACCCAGCGTATCTTCTTCCTCAACGATCGGCCGATTACCCTTGGACATGAAACCCTAGGTATCTTCTTCCTCAACGATCTGCTTGCTTCAAATCGATTGTTGTTTTTGTGAATATTCATCTACATCGACAATCGGCCGATTGTTGTTGGGTACCATCGTCGCCCTCTTCTCCTCCAAAGAACCCTAATAGGCCCGATTGCTCTCTTCTTCTCCATGACAGTCGACGCTGTCTTCTTCTCCATCGACAAATCGACTTCAAGTTCCATATCGATTTCATGAGTTTGTTCGATTTCATGTTTGTTGGATTTCTGTTTGCTCGATTTCTGTTTGCTTGCTTGTGTTCGATTTCATGCTTGTGTTCGATTTCATGAGAGTGTTCGGTTTCATGAGTTTGCTCGATTTCTGTTTGCTTGCTTGTGTTTGATTTCATGCTTGTGTTCGATTTCATGAGTTTGTTCGATTTCATGCATGTGTTCGATTTCTTTGCTGCTAGAAAGAAACCCTAGCTGATTTCTGTTTTATCGATTTCATTCTCTTAAGGGTAAATTAGTCATTTATGTTATTCAGACTATTGATTCAGATAGAAAAGTAAACAACAACATAAATTTATCCAGACAGAAAAATTTATCCAAAAAGACAAATTTATCTATACAGAACTTAATAGAAAATTTGGTAAACAGCCCCTTAGTCAACATATATTCTTATACTATGTTGCCTAAGGTAAAAACATAAATCCAACAAAGTTTACTTAAGCAACATATATTCCTATTTCTATGTTGCCTAAGGTAAAAATTATAAATTCAACCCAATTTACTTAGGCAACATATATT